GCCAGGCTTCCGGGAATTTCTTCTAATCAGAAATCCAACCATAGCAGAACATGATGGGTTTCTAAGGAGTTTCTGGGAGCATGCATTCAGGTGTTTGTTTAACAGCCATGATCCAGATAATCAATATGCCACAATCTGTACAAGAAGGGAGAAGATGGCAACCCTTCCTGCATCTGTGTTTGAACTTAGCATGTCTGGCCACAGCTACAGTGTATACAATGCTGTCTATGCTGTAGTGCATGCTTTGGAGGCAATGCGTTCATCAAAAATCAAGCACAACAATATTGTGGGTGGAAGACAGCAGAAGCTTCAGAAGCAACAAATGTGGCAGGTAATGTTCAGAGCAGAAATACTTAGGAAATGTGCAAGTTCAGTCTATAAAGCACATAAAAGGCTCACTCCAAAGGACATTGGGACATCTCAGTGCCATGTCTACCACCAATTCCATTCTTACAACATCTTAGGATCACAGAAGACATAAGAAGCAATTGCATGTTAACATTATGCATCATAGATCTACACCATGATCTCCTTATGTAGACTAGACTCTTGGTTTGGTCAAATTTTGACAGAAACACTAGAAGACATCCTCTGCATTTATAACATCTCCAGTGCCCTCCCAAAAAGGAATATCCTGATGCTCATGATTACATACATCTAACACATTGAAAGAGAAAATGAACTCATAATAATAGGGGCACATCATTACCTAAAAGTCTTGGAAATTGATGCTACAGTGTTCCCCTTGCATCAGCTCTGATGCTAGAGCTGTTCATGACCCTGCTAGAGGTGGTGTCCTATAATCAGGTATTCATATTCTCATATTATTCTCATATCCAATATTCCTCACTATTGCTCAGAAAAAAATAACATTACCCCCATGAATACTTCCTGAGAAGGATACCTGCTAAAAACAAATGTCTCCCTCTAGGCACATAGGTTGAAACTCATCAAGGGAGAAAAAACATTTTTAACAATCAGAATACCTTCTTTCCTCATGTACTACTACTAACATCTTCCAAGGCCTTCTATTACAGAACAATACCTTTGAATATATGTATACATTTTCATCTATTCGTGTGTTTAAGAAACTCACAGATAATGAAATATGATAGAACAATCTAATAGACTGAGTCCCTATGAAACAGAGTCTGTCCAGAAACAGAATGATGAATGATTCTTACATATTTTATCTCCCCTGTCTCTCTTTTCAATTTAGCTTCATACTTTCCTGAGAAGGGTTTCATTCAACAACAGTGCTGGAGAAAAGATTTCATTTGACAAAGATGGAGAACTAATTGGTGGATTTGATATTAATAAGTGGGTCACATTCCCAAACCAATCATTTTTTAGGATCCAGGTTGGTAGGATAGATCCCATGGCTTCCCCAGACAAGTTCTTCAACATTTCAGAGGATTCCGTCATATTGCCAAAAAGCTTTAACCAGGTGGGGTCTGACTAGTTGTGTTGTCTCATTTAAACAACATTAAAAATATTCTAGATTCAGATATGTTTCTTAGTTTATTCTCTGGGACAAGCAAATATATAAGCTACTCTGGGGGAGTTTCTTTAAAACGACTATGATTTCCTAGGAACCGAAAAAGATCCCTGCATATCTCATGTTTGTAGTTAGGTACCAAACATTTTATAAATTGCTAAAATTTACATGATCAAAAAAGCTTCTTTTTTCACTCTGAGTGTTTTCTTAGTCATGGACTCTGAAACCTTGATTTTGAAATTTAGGCTGCAATCTAATGTATCGGTTTTCTTCAGACTGTTATCCCCTATATATTCAGATTGGTATCCCCTATACACGTCAGCATATTCAACACAGCCACTGTCTTCCTGGATGGGGATGATATCTAATATTCTTCAATCCATCTAGATTAGTGTTTTTTGAACTTGGCAACCTAGAATGTTTGAAATATTTAATATAAAATTTTTCATTCTCTCTCAAATTCTTGGCCCAAGATTTTCAAATTTGCAGTCTTCTGTACTAGATTTCTTCAATTTAATGACCTCTAGATGAAGATTATAGTCCCATCATCCCTTCCCAGCACTGACATGATCTATTAAGGATGGAGATGATGATAACAATTATACATGATTAGAAATCCATAGATTCCTACAATTGTAGATGTTCAATTAAACAGTTTCAGACTAATAACCCCTCAGAACATCTTCCTACAATTTAAAATTGTTTATCAATCCCTTTTTAATTTGTTGATTCCCCAGTAACAGTATCTCTCCAAGCACTTCCTTTCCCTTACATATCTTAAAATATTATTCTTTATTTATGGATAGGGAGCATCTTTTTCCTTGTGTAATGATCCTTGTCAGGCAGGATACAGCAAGGCCAAGAAAGAAGGGGAGCCATTTTGCTGCTATAATTGTCTTCCATGTCCAGAGGGGAAAATATCAAGGAAGAAGGGTAGGAAGATTCTAAATATAAAGGGACTAAGCCATTTGGTATAACTGTGTGTGTTATGCATTAAACACACCACTGTTGCCTTCTTTTTCAGATACGGATGACTGCTCTCCATGTCCTGAAGATTATTATCCAAACCCTGAAAGAAATATATGCATTCCAAAACGTATCACTTTTTTGTCCTATGAAGAACCCATGGGGATCAGTCTCACTGTTCTTTCTCTTACTTTTTCTTTAATGACAACTTTCGTAATTACAACCTTCATTAAACACAAAAACACTCCCATCGTCAAAGCCAACAACCGGAATCTCACCTACATTCTCCTTGTTTCCCTCCTTCTCTCTTTCCTTTGTGTGTTTCTATTTATTGGGAGACCCAATAAGACTGTGTGTCTCCTTCGACAACCAGCTTTTGGGCTCATCTTTTCTGTGGCAGTTTCTTGTGTATTGGCCAAAACCTTTGTTGTGGTTCTAGCATTCATGGCCACCAAACCTGGTTCAAGAATGAAGAAATGGGTGGGTGGAAGAATAATCAGTTTCATTATTTTTTCCTGCTCCCTTATTCAAGCCAGCTTTTGTGCTGTGTGGCTGATAATGTCCCCACCATACCCAGATTTTGATGTGCACTCAATGTCTGAAGAAGTCATGATGGAGTGTAGTGAGGGATCAGTCACCATGTTCTACTCTGTCTTGGGCTTTATGGGTTTCCTGGCCATGGTCAGCTTCTCTGCTGCTTTTTTAGCTAGGAAGTTACCG